TACGTAAATAAGACAATGTTAGTAATATAGATAATAAATTACAGACAAGACTGTTAAACTTTTGTAACAAACCGTTAAACTTCTGTATCTAGATACGTATTGTATCGACTACTATGATGAGATACGCACCCCTAGTAATTAGTATCTAGTATTAAAAATAAAAATTAAAAAATAACACTAATAATTGGCTATTAGTTTGAAAATAAAGTAACTAACTAATAATTAAACTAAGGCATTTATATGGGCTACTAACCATGGCGACAACTGATAACCAATCGTCATAACTACAATAACACATATATTGTTAATGTTGTTCTGAGAGTTAATGTGATTTAGTATCACTGCTTAAAAGATGACCTGAAAACGAAACGTAGAAGAACGTTGTGTCTTAGTTGGGAAATCGAAAAATGTGTATAGCAAGAAAAGGGGACACGTTTAGTGCTTGCATAATAACATAAAGTAAACATGTGTAATACGAATAGTCTTTGTGCTAGACTATTGGTTACAATTTGTACTCACTAAGCCTAAAAATTTCTGAATGAAATACACGACGATACTCACCCCAAAGCTCGTGTTATTTATTTTCGTTATTAAAAGCTTTTAACGAGTACGGTTTTAATCAAACTTCATCATACGACGACTGAAAGGCACAACGTTAAACGGTCTACACGCAAAGCAACTGCGTCCTACATCAGATCCACGTTACCACCGTTTGCACACATTGCACGAGACTAACACAGAAAAACAAGAGAGCAGTATATTACACGATAAAGGTCTGTGCGTGAACGTCCGCTCTTTCACAGAACCGGTCTTGTCCGAGCAGATTTTTACACGCACCATATTATTAACCTCGCTAGCAGTGAGCAACAGTAGTCCTGACACCTGGGCCATAAGAGATAGGCAGACCACACTGACTGACTCAGACGTGGTGTAGGGGTAAAACAGCCAACAGCTTGCATACTACTTGCGTAGTTAGCTTATAAACTTGTGGCACCATTATACTTTATTTTTTGAAATATAGTGCATATTCAGATCTCAAAATCTATCTTCCTACAAAACAAATCATCACTCATAAAAT